TCACGTATCTGCGTCGTTTTCCGTATCCTGCCGACACCTTTCTGTGCACTGTGGCGTAACGGAAACTAAAACCGTGACAGAAATAGCACCATGAACAAATAATACGTACATTCTTAATCTCACATCGACGTGATTCACTGTAATGCAGGAGCGGGTATATTCATAACAACTGCATAGTATAAAGATTTACAACAAGGAAATTTTGCGTTAATGATGGTCGCTCTAAATATAGCGCCGTGCAAAAGTAAACATTGTAACGAAAATAGCTTCCTAAATATTTTTTTAACCAAAAAAAAAAAAAAAAAAAAAAAAAAATGAGGCTATGATTTGTTTTTAATCTCAGAAAATTATTGTGAACTACTCTAAAGATTGCAAAACACCCTACTCTAAGATATTCATACCCACGTATTTGCCAAAACCTAAAACACACCAAAAGAGAAAAACTGGGCTCAGGACCATTCATCATAAGATTGACCGTCGTAGATCTTCACTTGCTGAAATCTATTCATTTTGTATAATCATTTGACTAGCCGAGGCCTGTCGTTGTAGCAACCGAACATGCTAATTTTCAGCACGAAGAATCACGAGGCCATCATAAAAAAGGGAGAGAACAAAAATAAAAGAAACTGGTTACTCCCCCCACTTATGCCTTGCCGCATTAGCAAGGGTTCACTTTCGCGTTTTTACACTTACTTATCGCATGGTAATTACTGTTGATGAGTTTGGTGATACTTATAGTCACTCAAGACTAAAGGAGTAAGAAGCTATGAAATCCAACCAATGCCAATGTCTATATAATGTTTACGATGGTTTATTTTGGCTGCGTTATTCAAGACCGTAATGTTGCTCCGCCCAAAAGTGACGTCACATCAACGTCTGCTGCGCTAATGCCATGCTTATTTTTACATACACGGGGCATATACTATCACGTGACGACTGAGTGACTCGACGTTGCTGTAGACTCAGTTCCCTCCGTTGACAATCAATTAAATATAGAAAGACTTAGGGAAAGACAGCGAATAACAGAACATAAACCAATCAGGAGACTTAACCGGCGTCCACTCCCTCCTCCACGCCACAGAGCCTAGTGCGTTTCAGAAATTATGGCTCACGGAAGAAGACTATAAAAAAAAACGCTGCAATTGGCAATGTATGTTGTGAAATATACCATGTGAAATTATACAGTGATGTAAATGATAAGATTTCTTAATCCCTTACAGAGACTTAATGGTTGGTTTCTATTCTGTCTTTTCAGGTCTTCATAATTTTATTTCCGAATACAGAGCCGCAGAGTCACGTATCTGTCCACTGAGATCTGATACACAGACACTCGGGGTCATGTGTGCGAAACACGCAACGCAGTACTGACGTCCAACCAATATCATGCAAGACATGACGATAAAAGAACTTTTTCGACTTCTTTTTATGTTACTTATTTGTTTCTTTCCCATGTGTCTTCACCGACCGCCGCAGAGCGACTGTAAACACCTTGGTGTCCCGCTGCCAGCTGGGACATTCTTGGCAAGACAACCATATTTTTTGTAATGTCATAATGTTGGACTTCACGAAGGTAAGCCGGGTGGAATTATTATCAACCCGGCCCAGAGGTAAAAAGAAAGAAAGAAAAGAAAAACTGCATGGAAAAGCATCACGTTTCAAATGCACAGTTCTTCCCCATCTTACGGCAGGCACTCATACTTGCAATTTATAAATTCATCATCTATAATAATCACAAAAAGTGGCAGAACGACCACAATTATTACCTCAACACGGATACCTTCCTGACACTGGCACGTAATAAAAAAGCACGGGGGAAATCGGTTAATCGGTCTTAGAGAAGTCTAGGGTGCCCACCAAACCAAGGGTTTATTTTCCACTGAAGGGAAGAACCCAGCCTTGCAACTCTGGCACGAGTCACCAGCAGCCGCCAAGGTCATCGGTGGCACTTGTGAGTGACTACCTACACTCCTCTACTGCGCCATAGTGTGTGTGTATGTAAGCCAAACTACTTCTGGCCAAGGATATTTATAGATCACTATACATAAAAGCTGGCATAAATACGCAAACGCAAACACAGGCAAACCCGGCTCAGTCACACAAAAAAATAAATAATGGACACCCTCATAATTTGTGCTCCGTCTGATTCGCCATTTGATACGTTGAGCTGCTCGTACGTTTTGCGTTCGTGCATGTGTTAATTTAACTCAAACTTACGTGCATCCGCAACAAGACAAACAAGCACAGGCAAATACATACGCTTAATTAGTCTTAATTGGACTTTGCACACAAGCGTATTTAAGCGTTTTTCGCGCTCCTCGTAACACGTGGTCAACGGAAAAAAAACACGGATTAAAGTAAACAATGATTGTACGTAATTCCATCGAAATATGACATATTTGAATTTTGATCCTTTATTTTAATACCCTACACAAATTATTGGATTGGTAGATTGCATGCTGCAAAAGCAACATAGAAGTGCCATGCACCTATTCGTGCCTTTACTTAACTATTCCACTAATGGTGTCATTTCAATGCACTGTTAATAACAACAATGTTATCAAATTCCAAAAAAGACTAACCAACCGACAACATATCATAATCTCTGCCATTTTGATCGTTCGAGTTCATGGAGAACATCCATATCTTTGGGAGTATTTACCACTACCAGTTTCAGCAGTAAACACTCCAATGCATTTTATACATTAAATTCCCCATGTAAGTAAAAAAAAGAAAAAAAAAAGAAAGAAAGGAAGAAAATGGGGGAAGGTTCTTTACTCGTCCATACAACTGTAACGTCAAAACTCGTTCACACAGCACGGATGTAGGTCAGGAACTGCTAGTAGGGCAAGAAGAGTATATTTGGAAATATTTATGTTGGTCCTGCTCGTCACAATGACCTTTCTTGTTACATCATACTTGTTACTAATAGGAGTGAGGGAAGTAGAAACTTGCGGGGAGGGGAGGGTAGGAAGGCGAACAAAGACCATGAACTATTCCACCCTGACAACAATGAACATATTATGCTGTCTAGATAGCGTTCCCGACAATAACAACTTTCCCCATGTTTAGTAATCGGTGGCACTCCCTATAAAGGCAACCCGCAGTATCAGTGGCATCACTTAGTGGTTCATGGCAACATTCCTCAAGTAGGAATGGAAGATATATATCTATATCTATCTATCTATCTATCTATCTATCTATCTATCTATCTATCTATATATCTATATCTATATATATATATAGATATAGATTTTTTTTTTTTTTGTAACTTGCGCTTCAATAGTCCTAAAAAACTGTGAACAAACTGTGAAAGGTCAATGACATTTATTTTGCATGTTACAAAACCTTAAAATAAAACATTCAAGAAAAAGAAGAAGTAAAAGAAGACAGAAGACTGAAGACAGAAGTAGGAGGAGGAGGAGGAGGGGAGGAGGAGGAGGGAGGAGGAGGAGGAGGAGGAGGAGGAGGAGGAGGAGAGGAGGAGGAGGAGGAGGAGAAGAAGAAGAAGAAGAAGAAGAAGAAAGAAGAAGAAGAAGAAGAAAGAAGAAGAAGAAGAAGAAGAAGAAGAAGAAGAAGAAGAAGAGAAGAAGAAGAGAAAGAAGAAGAAGAAGAAGAAGAAGAAGAAGAAGAAGAAGAAGAAGAAGAAGAAGAAGAAGAAGAAGAAGAAGAAGAAGAAGAAGAAGAAGAAGAAGAAGAAGAAGAAGAAGAAACACACACACACATATATACATCTTGCACTGTACAAAACCTCAATCTAAAACAGATATTCCCACAAAAAAGAAGAAGAAAAAGTAGGAGCATTAGAATAGAAGCAAGAGCACAACAAATAGAAGAAACAGGAAGAGCAAGGTACTTACCAGCCCATGAGGCAGAAAGGATATGTACAAGGGGCGTATCGGTTGAGCTGAGGTGATTGTTAAGGAATTTCTTCATTTGTGAATAGGAACAGAAGTATATAGCCCGAGATGGAGCCACTCCCACCAAATTGGGCCCAAGTCCTCGAAACAGCGCTCGTGGACCTTCAACCTCCACGATGTATCTAGGGTGATGAGAAATACGTCACACTTAGTACAGGCAAGTCAAATATAATGGAAAATATATACAGGTAACAGAATGAGGCGAGTGAATGGGGGTGTATTTGTTTGGGATGGGGTGGGGGGGGGTTGCAGGTGCATTCTGTGACTATATTTTCCTAATTTGATTCTGTAACACAAGTAGAATAAGACTAATTTATATTAGTAACACCCACATATTTTCACAAATCAACCCAAGTACTCATGTGCTCCATTAATGGAAATGCAAATGATAATGCAAAATGCAAAAATACATATAAATATAAATGTTTGAAACATTTCTCTTCTGACTATTGGTACATGACTTGCAGTTATAAGTATAATATTTTCACATTGGTATAGTTTTCTTCAGAAATAAGAAGTACCATTTTAAATTCACTCTCTAATCTTTGCAACTTATCTTAAAAGAAAATTGAGAAAAACAAATACAAAATGAAAAAGGAGGGCAGGAAAAGGGGGAAATTACAAAACTGTTTACTTGCACGAACACTGATTTTGTCTTTCTGCTAATTGAAGGTAAATGACTTTTTGTCTGCATCAGCAACTAAAATGGACATTAGTCAAGTTCCTATCTGAAGTTATCATTTGAACTCATCAAACCCTGATAACTCCCTTTTTGCCCACTGGGTGATTTTCAAATGGCCATTTGTTTATTGATTTAAATCCTAAATTATCAAGAATGACATCCTCAGTGTACAGCTGATTATCTCTTATCTACTGAATTTAATTACTTTTTTTCTATTCTTATATTGTGGTGTCAAGATCATGATATATGGCTGTATTTAATTGGAGGAAACCAGGTAGATAACATCAATAATGAAAGATTCAATCTTACAAATACATAACCAATCTTGTGATTATGGACTAATCCCTACCATCACAACCAAAGGCATTTCCACTAAAAAGAGATAATTACTAAAAAATTGCTGAATGAGTTACTGTAAGCACACTCTGAGGAGAAGGCATAAAGCCAAGAGAATGCACTACCATGGTGTCAGCAGAGAAATGTCATTTGCCTCTGAAAAATATGGCAAGGTAAAGAAGTAAAATGCATGTAGGTTAAAGATCTGGCTTCTTGCTTATTTACTTCTTGTTATTGATCTTTCTTTCTACTTTCTTCAACTTTACAAGATTACAAGAACATCCAATAACTGTACTGAATGGAGAGCTGATTACATCAGCCCATAAAAGCACTAAGAAAGAAGTGGCAAATATCCAAATACTAGTACCCTATTTTTAAAACTCTTGTCATATGTACTAAAATAACTTGCATAAAAGAATTATATTATACATCAAACTACTACTTCAGAGTAGTGTATATCCAACTAGACCTATCTACATTATTACATGAGATGGTGCAAATTCCTGATAATTTACTCACTATTCAGTAATCAATATATGTTAAAATCAAAAGACTCATATAGGGTCAACAAAAAACAAGACTTTTAAAACAAATAAAAATCCACATTCAAACTATAAGTATCGAAAGGATGTTGACATATATAGGCTAAAAGGGAATAAGGGCAACAGAGATATAGACTGGCAGCTTGCCAGCGGAAGAAATCCTAGGACTGAGGGTCGTTCGTTGTCTTAAACCTTGCTTTAATAATATATATAAAGAAAGAAGGGAGCAGAAAAGGGAGGAAGGGAGGGAGGGAAAGGGAGAAAGAGAAGTAGAGAGAGAGAGAGAGAGAGAGAGAGAGAGAGAGAGAGAGAGAGAGAGAGAGAGAGAGAGAGAGAGAGAGAGAGAGAGAGAGAGAGAGAGAGAGAGAGAGACAGAGAGAGAGAGAGAGAGAGAGAGAGAGAGAGAGAGAGAGAGAGAGAGAGAGAGAGAGAGAGAGAGAGAGAGAGAGAGAGAGAGAGAGGAAGAGAGAGAGAGAGAAGAAGAAGAGAGAAGGGGAGGGAGGGGAGGGAGAGAGGGAGAGAGGAGAGAGAGGGGGAGGGGGGAGGGAGAGAGGGAGAGAGGAGGAGAGGGGAGAGAGAGAGAGAGAGAGAGAGAGAGAGAGAGAGAGGAGAGAGAGAGAGAGAGAGAGAGAGAGAGAAGAGAGAGAGGAGAGAGAGAGAGAGAGAGAGACCAGAGAAAGAGAGAGAGAGACAGAAAGAGAAAGAGAAGAGAAGAGAGAGAAGAGAGACAACGAGAGAGACGAGGAGAGAGAAGAGAGAGAGAGAGAGAGAGAGAGCAGAGAGAGAGAGAGAAGAGAGAGAGAGAGAGAGAGAGAGAGAGAGAGAGAGAGAGAGAGATGAGAGAGAGAGAGAGAGAGAGAGACAGAGAGACAGAGGAGAGACAGAAGACAAAAATCAGAAGAGGAGAGAAGAAGAGAGAACAGACAGAGAGAGAGAGAGAGAGAGAGACAGACAGGAGAAGAGAGAGAGAGAGACAAACACACAGAGAGAGAGAGAGAGAGAGAGAGAGAGAGAGAGAGAGAGAGAGAGAGAGAGAGAGAGAGAGAGAGAGAGAAGAGGAGAAGAGAGAGAACAGAGGAGGAAGAGAGAGGAGAGATGAGAGAGAGAGAGAGAGAGAGAGAGAGAGAGAGAGAGAGAGAGAGAGAGAGAGAGAGAGAGAGAGAGAGAGAGAAGCAGAGAAGAGAGAGAGAGGATGAACCACACAGAGAGAAGAGATGAGAGAGAGAGGAGAGAGAGAGAGGGAGAGGAGGAGAGGAGCACCGGGCAGCAGAGCCACGAGGCAGGGAAAGAGACGGGAGAGGAGGAAAAGAAAAGAGAGAAGAAAAAAGAGAGAGATAGAGAAAAGGAAGAAAAAAAAAGAAACAGAGAGAGAAGGAAGAAACGAACCAAAAGAGAAAAAAAAAAAAAAAAAAAAAAAGAGAGAGGACAAGAGAAGGGGAGGATGGGTAGGAGGAGGAGAGGGAGGAGAGGGAGAAAGAGGCATGAGTGGGGGAGGAGGAGAGGGAGGGCGGACAGGGGGGGGGAGGAGAAGAAGGAAGAGGGGTAGAAAGAGAGAGAGAGAGCATGAGAGAGAGAGAGAGAGAGATGAAAGGAGAGAGGAGAGAGAGGAGAGAGAGAGAGAGAGAGAGAGAGTAGGGGAGAGGGGGGGGAGAGAGAGAGAGGGAGGAAGAGAGAAAGGGGAGGGAGGGCGAGGAGGGGGGGGGGGGGAGGGGGGGAAGAGAGCAGAGGGAGAGAGAAGCAGGGAGAGAAGAGAGAGGAGAAGAGAGAGAAGAGAAAAGAGAGAGAGAAGAGGGAGAGAGAGAGAGAGGGGAGGCAGAGCGAGGGAAGGGAAAGGGAGGGATAGAGAGAGGAGAGAGAGAGAAGAGAGAGGAGAGAAGAGAGAGAGAGTGAGAGGGAGAGCGGCGAGAGAGCGAGGAGAGGGGAGGGAGGAGGGAGGGGGGAGAGAGAGAGAGAGAAGAGGAGAGAAGGAGAGAGAGAGAGAGAGAAGAGGAGAAGAGAGACGGACGAGATGAGAGAGGAAGAG